TCCATTTGAAAAGAGGTAGTATTAAATGGTTGATTTCGTTGCGACATTTGAACACAAATGCCTTCAATTTTATCTAACAATGACCGTAAATCAGTACAAAAATTTTCCCCAGCCCGTACATGGGGCAATTTCCTCAAAGAATTATGTAATGATCTGGCCACTTCATTTGGATTATCATAATTTTTTCTAAGTAATTCAAGAGCTGACTGATAAGATTCGTCAGTAACAGGTAAAGAGCTTATTAAAGTCAATGGTGAGCCTGAAAGGCACTGTTTTAAGTAAGTGAATTTGATTGAATCTGAAATTGGCAGGTCATGAACTCCTGCTTTAAAAGTATTCCAAAAAGAAAGGAAAGTGACACAATCCCCAGAAAACGTGGGTAATTGTGTTTTGGGTAAATGAATTAAGGAAGAGGCAATAGGAACATTCGTATTTTCTATCACTGGGATGGCAGCCTCCAGTAAACGGCGTTGACTACGGATACTACGTAAGTAACGTCTAAGATCAGAAAGTGTTTTGACAAAAGGGACCTCTACAATGAAGGCATCGTAGTCCGTATTATCCTGGATTCTTTCATTTCCCGTCATATTCGTTCGGAGAGTTGACCACTTTGTTTCATTGTCTGCTAGTTGATTTGACACGTCCAAGATTTCTTCATATTCAGCGTCTAGATTGTTAAGAATTGTTTCAATGACACGTTTATACTCTTTATCGGATTGACCTCCTACTTTTGGAGGTAAAACAAAATCCTTTCTAGCGTTTAACAATTCAAGGGCCTCTTCATTTAAGAGGGTTATCTGACCCCTAAAATGTTTTGACATGGTTTCAATAAGTACGGCTGAGCTGTCGTAACAGTTCTATACGATTAAGTATAACCCCTAGATTTCAAAAGGGACAAGAAAATTAACACAAATAAAAATCTTTATTTACTTCAATAAATATATATTTATATAATCAATTATAAGCGACAGTTTTTATTCTGTGTAAAAGTTTAAACAAGTATAAGCTAGAAAAATGTGAATGAGAATAAGCTAGGTGAATCAAAAGTAATTTTATTTTATAGGCCTTTCAAAGGAATTAAAATATTTGTTTATCTTTAAAAAGAATCTTTATATGGGAAAATTAATTTTAAATGAAAAATATGATTAAGCAAACCCAATGAAATGATAAGTTTTAACTCGGATACGACACGACTTTACTATTATGTATTATGTCCCAGCTGTTGAAAAACTCATTCGATGGTTGCTTTAATAGGAAAAAAGCACACACTCAACTCGATGATGAATTATTTTTGTTTATCTTAAATCCCCACACTGATTTTAACTTTGATAATTTAAAGGATCACATATGTCGATGGTTAAATTGTGATAGGAATATGCAGCCTTTTGATCGTACATCTGGTTTGCTAGAACATACTTTAGTGCATACTAAAGTAAAACCTTATGTTTGCAAGGTAATATCTTCATTTATTTCTAATTTTATAAAACATTCCTTTCCAGCATGTTGATGATGGTGTTCAATGTCTTAGTACCTTTGGTCTTAAGAAGAATTATAACAAACATCATCGGAAGTTCCATCCTCAGTGCAATAAAGTATTTTTTAAATAGAAAATACTATAGGGAAATATAGAAATATAGGTAAATTTTTTAAGTTCGTGAAAACAAAAAAATGCCTGACCATTTCGTAGATCAACTAAAACTCGGACTGGTAAGGGGGGGGGGGAATATTTACCTGGAATTAAGTAATTTTGTTCCTTTCTCGGCAAAAATTTTGGTGTTTCTAAATTTCTGATCCTCGCGCTAATTTTTAGGGATATTTCTTCCGTTTCTGTTTTCATTCATTAGGGGATTTGGATAAAAGATTTTTAGATAAAAAATTATATTCCTGTTGTTTTAACCTTTAAAGAATTGTTGTAAACACATAACCGTTGGACATCAGCAACAATATGATCACCCACCCCATGGAGGACAACAATTACCAACAAATGTAGAACATCAAGGAAATGAGGGCGATTATTCTAATGAAGATTTGGACTTGACTTTGCGCCTTTAACCTTGGATTCGCAAATATGTGCCCACAATTGGGTTGGGCCCAGGCATAATTATAACAAACACAAAACAAGAGTTGACACCTTTAAATTGGGGTTTTCTTTAAAATTCTTCCAAATTCATTTTATATTTAAATTTAGTTTTATCGTAAATGTTAGTCCCTCAAAACTTTATTTAACTAATTAGTGTTGTTCTCTCTTTTTCCACCTCTCCTGTTTTTTTCATAATTCCAATTATAAGCTTTAAAGTAAATTCCTTAGCATTTAGCTAACCTGGTTTATCTAGATTTGTTTTCATATTATTTTTATTTTGCATAAAGTATTTCTAGTCTTTTAGATTTTTTAAAATTAATTTTGGGTAAAAAAGGTTAGAGCCTCATTTAGTTTATCTTGATATGTATTGACGTTTTTCAAAAAGTTGTTATTGATCAAACTAGAAATGTTTTGATTTAAAGCATCATATGGTGTGTTCAGAAAATGAACGGTGTCATACAACTCCGATTACTCATATCTTTGTGAATTCAAGTCGAATTTCGTTGATTCTAATGTCATTTGACTCAGATGACGAATTCTTTCTAATTAGCTATAATTTGCATATATAAACTTGAGATACAAATTTTGTTTTCGGCCCTGTTGAGTGCTTCTATAGTGATATCTGGTCAACTCAGGCCAAAGACGAAGATCTTGAAAAAACAGAGTTTGCCTACATCTGATGATCCTTCTACTCAAAAGACTCCAGTAACAACACCTGTATCAGAAGCCCTACTGAAACACCGGTATTATCTGTAGAAAAATCGGATCACACACATACTTAAAAGCCAACTCATTTAGACGGGAAGATAATAGATACTCCGCCACCATTAAAAGATGAACATCAAACTTTAATAAATATGGGTGACCGTGCAGCTACAGATCGTTAAATAATAGTGTTGATTCGGCAGATAAAGCACAGTTAAATAAAGAAATTAATAACAAATATTGGCTAAATGCTCGTTACAAATATGCAATGAAAGATGAATTGTTAACATTAGATAAAAATTTTCCCTCTTATAAATTAAACTTTATTTAAACTTCACAATTTATCGGTCAAAGCCCTGGTTTGTAATGAATAAAAAATAAAATATACAGTATTTACTCACTTAATTACCCCCTCCAGTTAAAAAATAATTAACGAGTGTAATTATTCAAGAAAATAAAGTATTGAGACTTTATTAAACAATTCAAAAATAAAGAAATAACATTTTTTATTTAATTTTAAATATTTTTGCCGTAAATTAAAGTATTTTTTTAAATTACTTGGAGTAAAATTTTTAATAAAATTTTTTAATTAAAATTATAAAAAAACTTAATTTAAATTAATTTAAATTAATTTTAATTTAAAAACTTATTTTTAATATTTCTTTTTCTAATCAATTTTTTATTTTTTCTTTCTCTATATTGGCTTTCCACATTAATTTGACCTTTTTAGAGGCATCATGCGCCAATTAGATCAATTCTAAATTTTGATTTTCGAGTGGATGGGGATACATTTGAAGGAAAATCATTAGACATTCCACCGAATATATTGGAAATTTTCAAAAAAACCTACAATACAATAATAACTTACTTGCTTAAAAGTTATCCTAGGTAAGTATTGCGACCTCAAACTAACTAAAGGTGTTAATTAAGCGAAAGAGGATAATTCCAAAGAAGGGTAAACCATCAATGGACGTTTTTGGCAACAAAGAATATAGGTTGGGGGGCCCAATCCGGTCCGGTCTGAAAGATTGGGTCGGGCATCGAATTTGACCCGAAAAAGACTAGATCGGTCTGGCCCGATAAAAACCAGGCCCGAAAAAAATAATTCGAACGTCGGAATAATCAAAAACCCCACCTCCAAAAATGTTAATCCCATACCAAAAATAGCAACGAATTGGTGGGACTTGATTCTGTGTCCTCATATGTAAAGTTATTAACCGATCGTCCATACCACTAGAGAATATCTTTTTTATTTTTGCCTTATTTGCTAAGCTGAGAGGATGTTAACAATGACGGCTTAAACCAATTTTCAAAAAACGAAATTAAATCATCGGTGAAAAGAATGTTCTGTGAAATGTCCTTATATTCCCATTTTTAAATGATAAAGACTGGCAGAGTCTCTTGTAAATTGCCCAGCCCTCTCAAATAGCTCTTTATAAATATTAATTGCCATAATACGTTTTATTAATTTATTTTTTTCTTTTTTCTTAATTTTAACTGCTTATTAAGGTAAGGTCAGACTTATGGGGACCCGATAAATGGGAACGATTTTTGGGACGAAATAGGATTTTTAAACAGAAAAATCAACTCGATCCGACTTGATTAGACAAAGTTATACAAAAATGAATCAAGTAAAGACGGTTATCAGAATTAAATATTTTTTAAATTCTAAGAAAAATATTTTAAATCAAAATTTAGATTAAAATGTTCAAAAAATTCATTTCAATTGTTATTTTATTTTTTATTTTAAAAAATTATTCTGAAGGAGCACCGAAGAAGGGAAAAGGAGAAACATGTGGGCAACAACCCCAAGAGTTAATACAAAAATTTATTTTAATTTTAAAAAATATTAAGGTGGAAATGTGATTGGGCTGGATGTATATATCGTTTTGATAATGAAGGTGTTTTTGCTAAACATGTTGAAGAACATGCAAGAACGGCACAGGTCACAATAATTAGTAACACTTATCAAGACATTTTTCTTTTATCATCTTAATATTGAATACAAATATAACAATCCGTGAACATTAAATTTGACTGGCGGTTTTCATTTTTCTGAATCGACTTTCCTATTATGTATCATGCCCCTTCTGTTGAAAAACTCATTCGATGGTTGCTTTAATAGGAAAAAAGCCCGCACAAAAGCACTGATCAACTCGATAATGAATTATTTTTATTTATCTTAAAACCCCACCCTGATTTTAACTTTTATAATATGAAGGATCACATATGTCGATGGTTAAATTGTGATAGGAATATGCAGCCTTTTGATCGTACATCTGGTTTGCTAGAACATACTTTAGTGCATACTCAAGTAAAACCTTATGTTTGCACGGTAATATCTTCAATTATTTTCTAATTTTATAAAACATTCCTTTCCAGCATGTTGATGATGGTGTTCAATGTCTTAGTACCTTTGGTCTTAAGAAGAATTATAACAAACATCATCGGAAGTTCCATCCTCAGTGCAATAAAGTATTTTTTAAATAGAAAATACTATAGGGAAATATAAAAATATAGGTAAATTTTTTAAGTTCATGAAAACGAAAAAATGACTGATCATTTCGTAGATCAACTAAAACTCGGACTGGTAAGGGGGGGGGGGGAAATATTTACCTTGAATTAAGTAATTTTGTTACTTAATTAATCCTCGCGATAATTATTAGGGATATTTCTTCCGTTTACGCCTTCATTCATTAGGGGATTTAGATAAGAGATTTTTAGATAAAAAATTATATTCCTGTTGCTTTAACCTTTAAAGGATTGTTGTAAACACATAACCGAAGGACATCAGCAACAATATGATCATCCACCCCATGGAGGACAACAATTACCAACAAATGTAGAACATCAGGGAAATGAGGGCGATTATTCTAATGAAGATTTGGACTTGACTTTGCGCCTTTAACCTTGGATTCGCAAATATGTGCCCACAATTGGGTTGTTCCCAGGCATATTTTTAACAAACACAAAACAAGAGTTGACACCTTTAAATTGGGGTTTCTTTAAAATTCTTCCAAATTCATTTTATATTAAAATTTAACCTTATTTTGAAAGTTAGTACTTTAGAACCTTATTTAACTTTTTAATTTTGTTTCTCACCCTCTTTCCTAGTTGCATTTGCCCGCTGCTCCGGTTTTTTGAAAATTCCAAACAAAATTCCAACCGTTCAGTGGCCCTTTTAGCATACCTGGATTATCTAGATTTGTTTTCTTATTATATTCATTTTGCATAAAGAATTTCTAGTCTTTTAGATTTTTTAAAATTAATTTTGAGTAAAAAAGTTGAGAGCCTCATTTAGTTTATCTTTATATGTTTAGACGTTTTTGAAGATTTGTTAATGATGAAACTAGAAAAGTTTTGATTTAAAGTTTATATTGTGTGTTAAGTGAATGAACGATGTCATACAACTCCGATTACTCATATCTTTGTGAATTCAAGTCGAATTTCGTTGATTCTAATGTCATTTGACTCAAATCGACGAACTCTTTCTAATTAGCTATAATTTGCATATATAAACTTGAGACACAAATTTTGTTTTCGGCCCTGTTGAGTGCTTCTATAGTGATATCTGGTCAACTCAGGCCAAAGACGAAGATCTTGAAAAAAAACAGAGTTTGCCTACATCTAATGATCCTTCTACTCAAAAGACTCCAGTAACAACACCTGTATCAGAAGCCCCTACTGAAACACCGTTATTATCTGTAGATGCTCGTTACAAATATGCAATGAAAGATGAATAGTTAACATTAGATAAAATTTTTCCCTATGCACTTATAAATTAAACTTTATTTCAACTTCACAATTTCTCGGTCAAAGCTCTGGCAAGTAATTAATAGAAAATAAAATATACCGTATTTACTCACTTAATTCCCCCCTCCAGTGAGTAAAAATAATTAACGAGGGTAATTATTCGAGAAAATAAAGTATTGAGACTTTATTAAACAATTCAAAAATAAAGAAATAACATTTTTTATTTAATTTTAAATATTTTTGCCGTAAATTAAAGTATTTTTTTAAATTACTTGGAGTAAAATTTTTAATAAAATTTTTTAATTAAAATTATAAAAAAACTTAATTTAAATTAATTTTTTAAATTTTAATTTCAAAACTTATTTTTAATATTTCTTTTTCTAATCAATTTTTTATTTTTTCTTTCTCTATATCGGCTTTCCACATTAATTTGTCCTTTTTTGAGGAATCATACGCCAATTAAATCAATTCAAAATTTAGATTTTTGAGAGGATGGGGATACATTTGAAGGAAAATCATTAGACATTCCACTGAATATATTGGAAATTTTCAAAAAAAAACTACAATACAATAATAACTTATTTGCATAAAAATTATCCTAGGTAAGTATTGCGACCTCAAACTAACTAAAAGTGGTAATTAAGCGAAAGAGGATAATTATTCCAAAGAAGGGTAAAGCATCAATGGACGTTTCAGACAACAAGGAATATAGGTTGGGGGCCCAATCCGGTCCGGAATGAAAGAACGGGTTGTAAATCGTATTTGACCCGAAAAAGACTAGATCGGTCTGGCCCGAAAAAAATAATTCGAACGTCGGAATAATCAAAAACCCCAACTCCAAAAATGTTGTTAACCCCGTACCAAAAATAAAAACGAATTGGTTCTGAGTCCTCATATGCAAAGTTATTAACCGATCGTCCGTCAGACTACTGTTTATTTTTGCTTTATTTGCTAAGCTGAGAGGAAACCTCGCCGGTGGAGTTTATTTTAACAATCTATTCAATTTCAAAAGACGATCGTTGAAAAGCATGTTCTGTGAATTGTCCTTACATTCCCATTTTTAAATGATAAAGCCTGGCAGAGTCTCTTGTAAATTGCCCAGCCCTCTCAAATAGCTCTTTATAAATATTAATTGCCATAATACATATTAGTTTTTTTTTCTTACTTAATTTTAAATGCTTATTAAGCTAGGATTAGACTTATGGGGACCCGACTATTGGGGACAAATAGAATTTTTAAAAATTGAAAATTAGCTTATAGCGGGTTTTTAATACTTAGTCGGTTACAAAACATGGTCCTTCCACACAGCTTGATGTCTGAGACGAATAAGTGGTGAAAACTAGGAAATTTTTGGAGTCAAAATTCAAGTATGCAATAAAGCTCATAAACAGAGCGCGCAGCAAAATCAGATCGATCCGACTTGATTAGACAAAGTTATACAAAAATGAATCGAGTAAATCTATGGGCGTCGGAGAGGCGCTTGTGCAAAACGCGTTTCGAGGGAGTTAACGGTCACTGGGTTCTGCACCATTAACAAAAAAAGTTTTTCTATTAAAAGTTAAAAGGAAGTATTAGTGACTACAGACGGTTATCAAAATTAAATATTTTTTAAATTCTAAGAAAAATATTTTAAATCAAAATTTAGATTAAAATGTTCAAAAAATTCAATGCAATTGTTATTTTATTTTTCTTTTTAAAAAATTATTCTGAAGGAGCGCCGAAAAAGAGAAAAGGGGAAATAAGTGGGCAACAAACCCAAGAGTTAATACAAAAATTTATTTTTATTATAAAAAATATTAAGCAGATCTGAAGGAGGCTCTACATCTGCCACAACTGGCACTTTAGGTACACATGGAAATTATTCTTGTGAATGGGAAGGATGTGGACAGATTTTTGATAATCGTGATACTCTTCTGGAACATGTATACAATGAACATATAGGAATGGAAGAGGTATAATCGGGGTTTTGTGTATATCAACTCTTGTTATAATGGAACTATAGCTATCATAAAATGTATTTTAGGATTTAAATCTATCCATTCAAAAATTTTTCTATAAAATCCATCTTAAAAAACCAAGAGTGACGGGTTCTGTCTGACGGGTTCTGCTAGACTGACGGGTTCTGTTTTCGATATATCAAAATTTTTAGAAGGATGTACGTTGCGGCTGGACAAGTTGTCGAAAAGCCCATTATGTTTGCCCACAAGAAAAAGTGAAACAACATTTTAAAAAACATGTTGGATTAAAACCTTATGTTTGCGAGGTAGTAGATTAAAAAACTTTCAAATTTCCTAAAATATTTAGTATGCTGAAAATGGTGGTCCTTGTAATCAGAGTTTTACTCGAAAGAGAAATCTTAAAACACATCAACGTCGTGATCATGCAGGAGAAACAATTATTTATAAATGTGCTTACCCTCATTGCGAAAGTGTAAATAATTATATTTCTTATCAAATAAAAGTTTGATTTATTGGGAACTAAAGGGATTGTTTGGGCTGTCCAAGATGGAAGTGGAAATTTTACATCGTACGGATTTCCTGAATTTGAGTTCCTATACAGGCTAATCTACTAATGAGTTCAATATTAGTAGATTCGTTAATATTTATTCTACGTCTTGGGAATATTGCCTTTGTTAACGGGGTTGGTACTAAATGAAAATTAATTTTGAAATTTTCTAGAGTTATTTAAATTACGATGACAAAGTCAAACACGAAAAAACTCATATCAATCCGAACCATTATGGATGTCCAGTATTTATGTGTCCAAAACAAAAATATAAGGATCCAACTTCACTGCGTAAACATGTTTGTACAAAACACGGAGAAAATGTCTGGGATTTTATTATAGCAAATAAAAAAGCTAAAAAAGCAAATGGTTATGGACCAATTGGAATAAGTGAAGATGGAACTCCTTACGAGTTAGTTTGAATTTTATGTAAATAATTTTTGATAATGGAATTTATTTTGTTAACCAACAAAAAAATTTAAAAATGAATAAATTAAAATTAAGTATGCTTGATGGAGGTGCTGGCAGTAGTGATCCGAACCGTGAAGTTGAGGTGAGAAAATATTTTTATATAGGAATTTTCAATTAAATTATAATTTAGTACACAGAATTTTAAGTTTAAGACCCAATGGAATTATCCAAAAAACGCCCATTGTAAAATTAAAATTTTGCCTCTTGGCAAAATTTAGGTAATTTAGCTTTTTTAAATTTGAAAATTCAGGTATTAATTGGGGGATTTTTATAAAGAAAGTTTTTATAAATCCTCTTATTTAAAATTTTTTTAAAATTTTAAATGTTGGAATTTTAACTTAAGGTTCTAGTCCTGTTTCGAATATTAGGGATTCTTCTTCCGTTTTAGTCTTTATTCATTTACTTTTCGAATATTTGTTTGTAAAATCAAAGGTTTAATAATGTGATTCTGATAGAAAAAATTTTTACAAAATCTTTTAATTATAATTTTGCTTGTAAACTTTTAAAGGTTGGTCAGATACCCCAAGGAATACAAGAACATTTGGTTCATCCAGCATACCCACATGAAGAAGAATTACATCTATTTCCAACAAATGTAGAACATCAAGAAAATAATCAAAATGAAGATTATTTAATGCAAGACAGTTATATTAATGAGGATGTAGACACAGATTTGACCCTTTATCATTAAATCCGCAACAATGAGTCTATAACAAAGTGTTCCCCGGCATATTTAAAAAGGACACAAACCATGAATTGTTATTTTTAAATGAATGCTTTAAAAAATTTACATTTCTTTCTATAGTAAAATTTAACTTTATCTATAAATTCCCCCAAATATTTAACTTTATAGTTTTTACAGTCCAATTTTTATTAAATTACTAAACTAATCCATCTGTTTTTTGTTTCCATTCATTTAGCATAAAGAATTTTCTGTTTTTTTTAGATTTTTAAAATTTTAATCAATTTTGGCTAGATTTTATTAGGGGATTCGAGCTGTTGTGAACCTTGGGGTGGCGAGAGTTAATCCAAATATTTAACCTCTTCAGTCGATATATATCTGAGATATATATATCTGAGATTGTATCTAAAATTCCTACAAAAACCCATAGAAAATATCCTTCAGATATTTTCTATGGGTTAGAAAATATCCAACTAAGTTTTTATTGTGATACATTGCCGCCTATGCGTTTTTTCTGGTACAATTGTGTAAAATCCTATTAAAAATATACAAGATTTACGGATAATCCTTTAATAATTTTAATTTTGAATTTTCTAAATTACATAATTATTAATAATTTTAGCTAATATATAAACTATAATAATCATTATCACCAATTGTATTATCAACATCATTCTCATCATTATCATCACTGGATTAAGTTCATCATCACTTTCATCATTTGTTGGGTCCGGGGAATCTAAAAATATTTATTATTTTTATAGGTCTCCCTGTTAGAATATCGTTTTCTTCATTGAATCACAGTAATACCTTATATATATTACCTCCAAAACTTATAAAATTTGATTAATAATTTGGGTTGGGGAATGTCTAAGCTTACACTTAATTTAAGATCTCCCTATCTGTAAACAATTATTTTAGCCCCCAAGAGGGTATTTAAAATCGAGATTTAACTCTACTATTCGTGATAATGAAGGTGTTTTTGATCTACATGTTAAAGAACATGCGAGAACGGCACAGGTCACAATAATTAGTAACACTTATCAAGACATTTTTCTTTTATCATTTTAATATTAAATACAAATATAACAATACGTAAACATTAAATTCGACTGGCGGTTTTCACTTTTATGAATCGACTTTACTATTATGTATTATGTCCCAGCTGTTGAAAAACTCATTCGATGGTTGCTTTAATAGGAAAAAAGCACACACTCAACTCGATAATGAATTATTTTTATTTATCTTAAATCCCCATCCTGATTTTAACTTCTAAAATATAAAGGATAAAATATGCCGATGGTTAAATTGTGATAGGAATATGCAGCCTTTTATCGTACATCTGGTTTGCTAGAACATACTTTAGTGCATACTCAAGTAAAACCTTATGTTTGCATGGTAATATCTTCAATTATTTTCTAATTTTATAAAACATTAATTTCCAGCATGTTGATGATGGTGTTCAATGTCTTAGTACCTTTGGTCTTAAGAAGAATTATAACAAACATCATCGGAAGTTCCATCCTCATTGCAATAAAGTATTTTTTAAATAGAATTATACTATAGGGAAATATAGAACTATAGGGAAATTTTTTAAGTTTATGAAAACGAAAAAATGACTGATCATTTCGTAGATCAACTAAAACTCGGACTGGGAAGGGGGGGGGAATATTTACCTGGAATTAAGTAATTTTGTTACTTAATTAATCCTCGCGATAATTATCAGGGATATTTCTTCCGTTTACGCCTTCATTCATTAGGGGATTTAGATAAAAGATTTTTAGATAAAAAATTATATTCCTGTTGTTTAAAACAACAGGAATATAATTTTTGTTGTTTAAAACAACAGGAATATAATTGTTTAAAACAACAGGAATATAATTGTTTAAAACAACAGGAATATAATTTTTTATCTAAAAATCTTTTATCTAAATCCCCTAATGAATGTGTTTACAACAATCCTTTAAAGGTTAAAACAACTTGTTTTAACCTTTAAAGGATTGTTGTAAACACATAAACGAAGGACATCAGCAACAACAACATGATCACCCACACCATGGAGGACAACAATTACCAACAAATGTAGAACATCAGGGAAATGAGGACGATTATTCTAATGAAGATTTAGACTTGACTTTGAGCCTTTAACCTTGGATTCGCAAATATGTGCCCACAATTGGGTTGGGCCCAGGCATATTTTTAACAAACACAAAACAAGAGTTGACACCTTTAAATTGGGGTTTTCTTTAAAATTCTTCCAAATTCATTTTATATTTAAATTTAACCTTATTTTGAAAGTTAGTACTTTAAAACTTTATTTAACTTTTTAATTTTGTTTCTCACCCTTTTTCCTAGTTGCATTTGCCCTCTGCTCCGGTTTTTTGAAAATTCCAACCGTTCAGTGGCCCTTTTAGCATACCTGGATTATGTATCTAGTTTTGTTTTCTTATTATATTCATTTTGCATAAAGAATTTCTAGTCTTTTAGATTTTTTAAAATTAATTTTGAGTAAAAAAGTTGAGAGCCTCATTAGTTTATCTTTATATGTTTAGACGTTTTTCGAAGAGTTTTTAGGATGAAACTAGACCAGTTTTGATTTAAAGCAACATATGGTGTGTTAAGAGAATGAACGATGTCTTACTACTCCGATTACTCATATCTTTGAGAATTCAAGTCGAACTTCGTTGATTTTGATGTCATTTGACTCAAATTGACAAACTCTTTCTATGTAATTAGCTATAATTTGCATATATAAACTTGAGACACAAATTTTGTTTTCGGCCCTGTTGAGTGCTTCTATAGTGATATCTGGTCAACTCAGGCCAAAAACGAAGATCTTGAAAAAACGAGATCCTTCTATTCAAAAGACTCCAGTAACAACATCTGTATCAGAAGCCCTACTGAAACACCGGTATTATCTGTAGAAAAATCGGATCACACACATACTGAAAAGCCAACTCCTTTAGACGGGAAGATAATAGATACTCGACCACCATTAAAGGATTAACATCAAACTTTAATAAATATGGGTGACCGTGCAGCTACACGATCGTTAAATAATAGTGTTGATTCGGCAGATAAAGCACAGTTAAATAAAGAAATTAATAACAAATAATGACTAAATGCTCGTTACAAATATGCAATGAAGGATGAATAGTTAACATTAGATAAAAATTTTCCCTCTTATAAATTAAACTTTCTTTATTTCAACTTCACAATTTCTGTTTCAAAGCCCTGGTATGTAATGAATAAAAAAATAAAATATACCGCATTTACTCACTTAATTACCCCCTCAAGTGAATAAAAAATAATTAACGAGGGTAATTATTCAAGTAAATAAAGTAATGAGAATTTATTAAACTATTCAAAAATAAAGAAAAAATATTTTTTATTTAATTTTATATTCTTTTGCCGTGAATTAAAGTATTTTTTTAAAGATTTATTGGATTAAAATTTTAATAATTTTTTAATTAAAATTATAAAAAAACTTCATTAATTTAAATTAATTTTTCTAATTTTAATTTAAAAATTTATTTTTAATTTCTTTTTCTAATCAATTTTTTATTTTTTCTTTCTCTATATTGGCTTTCCGCCCTAATTTGACCTTTTTAGAGGAATCATGCGCTAATTAAATCAGTTCTAAATTTTGATTTTCGAGTGGATGGGGATACATTTGAAGGAAAATCATTAGACATTCCACCGAATATATTGGAAATTTTCAAAAAAACCTACAATACAATAATAACTTACTTGCTTAAAAATTATCCTAGTTAAGTATTGCGACCTCAAACTAACTAAAGGTGGTAATTAAGCGAAAGAGGATAATTATTCCAAAGAAGGGTAAAGCATCAATGGACGTTTATGGCAACAAAGAATATGTGTATAAATATATTAGATTAGGGTTGGGGGCCCAATCCGGTCCGGTTCGAAAGATCGGGTTGGGTATCGAATTTGGCCCGAAAAAGACTAGACCGGTCTGGCCATAATAATTCGAACGTCGGAATAATCAAAAACCCCACCTCCAAAAAAGTTGTTAACCCCGTACCAAAAATAGCAACGAATTGCTGGGACTTGATTCTGTGTCCTCATATGTAAAGTTATTAACCGATCGTCCATCACAACTCCAAATATCGTTTTTATTTTTGTTTTATTTGATAAGCCGAGAGGAAACTTCGCCGGTGGAGTTTATTTTAACAATGTATTCAATTTCAAAAGACATAATTAAAACATCGTTGAAAAGCATGTTCTGTGAAATGCCCTTACATTCCCATTTTTAAATGCTAAAGCCGGGCAGAGTCTCTTGTAAATTGCCCATCCCTCTCAAATAGCTCTTTATAAATATTAGTTGCCATAATACGTCTTATTAATTTATTTTTTTTCTTAATTTTAGATGCTTATTAAGCTAGGATTAGACTTATGGGGACCCGACAGTTAGGGAGCAAATAGAATTTTTAAAAATTGAACATTAACTTATAGCGGGTTTTTAATACTTGGTCGGTTACAAAACATGGTCCTTCACTCAGCTTAATGTCTGAGACGAATAAGGGGTAAAAACCAAGGACACTTTTGGAGTCAAAATTCAAATATGCAATAAAGTTCATAAACAGAGCTCACATCAAAATCAACTCGATCCGACTTGATTAGACAAAGTTATACAAAAATGAATCAAGTAATCCTATGGGCGTCGGAGAAACGCTTGTGTAAAACGTGACTCGAGGGAGTTAACGATCACTGGGTTCTGCACAGTAACAAAAAAACGTTTTTCTAGTTGAAGTCAAGAGGAAGTATTAGTGGCTACAGACGGTTATCAAAATTAAATATTTTTTAAATTCTAAGAAAAATATTTTAAATCCTGGCAGAGTCTCATGTAAATTGCCCAGCCCTCTCAAATAGCTCTTGATAAATAGTAGTTGCCATAATACTTATTATTAATTTACTTTTCTTTTTTCTTAATTTTAAATGCTTATTAAGCTAGGATCAGACTTTCGGGGACCCGACAATCGGGGACAAAATATAATTTTAAAAATTGTAAATTAACTTATAGCGGGTTTTTAATACTTGGTCGGTTACAAGACATGGTCATTCCACTTAGTCAGCTTGATGTCTGAGACGAATAAGGGGTGGAACCCAAGGACATTTTTGGAGTCGAAATTCAAATATGCAATAAAGTTCATAAACAGAGCTCACATCAAAATCAACTCGATCCGACTTGATTAGATTCTGCACCAGTAACATAAGCCGTAACAAAAAACATTTTTCTTGTAGAAGTTAAAAGGAACTATTTTTGACTACAGACGGTTATCAAAATTAAATATTTTTTAAATTCCAAGAAAATATTTTGAATAAAAATTTAGATTAAAATGTTCAAAAAATTCAATGCAATTGTTATTTTATTTTTTATTTTAAAAAATTATTCTGAAGGAGTAGGACCGAAGAAACGAAAAGGAGAAACAAGTGGGCAACAAATCCAAGAGTTAATACAAAAATTTATTTTAATTTCAAAAAATATTAAGGTGGAAATGTGATTGGGCTGTATGTATATCTCGTTTTGATAATGAAGGTGCCTTTGCTAAACATGTTGAAGAACATGCAAGAACGACACAGGTCACAATAATTATTAACACTCATCATTACATTTTTTGTCATTTTAATATTAAATACAAATATAGAAACCTTCTGTTGAAAAACTCATTCGATGGTTGCTTTAATAGGAAAAAAGCCCACACCAAAGCACAACTACTGATCAACTCGATAATGAATTATTTTTATTTATCTAAAATCCCCACCCTGATTTTAACTTTTAAAATATAAAGGATAAAATATGTCGATGGTTAAATTGTGATAGGAATATGCAGCCTTTTAATCGTACATCTGGTTTGCTAGAACATACTTTAGTGCATACTCAAGTAAAACCTTATGTTTGCATGGTAATATCTTCAATTATTTTCTAATTTTATAAAACATTCCTTTCCAGCATGTTGATGATGGTGTTAAATGTCTTAGTACCTTTGGTCTTAAGAAGAATTATAACAAACATCATCGGAAGTTCCATCCTCATTGCAATAATGTATTTTTTAAATAGAATTATACTATAGGGAAATATAGAACTATAGGGAAATTTTTTAAGTTTATGAAAACGAAAAAATGACTATTTCGTAGATCAACTAAAACTCGGACTGGTAAGGGGGGGAAATATTTACCTTGAATTAAGTAATTTTGTTCCTTTCTCGGCAAAAATTTTGGTGTTTCTAAATTTCTGATCCTCGCGCTAATTTTTAGGGATATTTCTTCCGTTTCTGCCTTCATTCATTAGTGGATTTAGATAAAAGATTTTTAGATAAAAAATTATATTCCTGTTGTTTTAACCTTTAAAGGATTGTTGTAAACACATAACCGAAGGACATCAGCAACAATTCGATTACCCACCCCATGGAGGACAACAATTACCAACAAATGTAGAACATCAAGGAAATGAGGAAGATTATTCTAATGAAGATTTAGACTTGACTTTGAGCCTTTAACCTTGGATTCGCAAATATGTGCCCACAATTGGGTTGGGCCCAGACATATTTTTAACAAACACAAAACAAGAGTTGACACCTTTAAATGGGCTTTTCTTTAAAATTCTTCCAAATTCATTTTATATTTAAATTTAACTTTATCTTGAATGTTAGTACTTTAGAACTTTATTTAACTTTTTAATTTTGTTTCTCACCCTTTTTCCTAGTTGCATTTGCCCTCTGCTCCGGTTTTTTGAAAATTCCAACCGTTCAGTGGCCCTTTTAGCATACCTGGATTATGTATAGTAAAGCGGTTGGTCCCGTTCCCCAGTGCCTTGTCGTCTAATTGTTGTTATAGGCAGAGTCGCGCATGCTTGCAATCATGTGTGAACTCCGCAGAGTATAGAATAAGTTAATCGCTCGCAGTGGGGGAATATAAGGGGAGACGTCTCTCCCTTTACACGATGGATAAGCCGGCCGGCAACTCTGTTGAATGAATGAAGAAGTGATCCACCTTTGCCTATTCCTTTAGGGCTTATATGCACCAGCCTACTTCCTTATTGCTTTCCGAAGGATAAGTTAGTGGCGATGCTAAGCTTAGATAATGGGCGGCTAATAACTCTCTGGGAATGGCCGTTTGTAATATTCTTTGCACCTTCCTGCAAACTTCCGTTAACTAGAGCGACATTGCTCTTCACGTGTTTTTAGGATGATATCCGCCTTACACCTCTAACCTTCCAATAGACCGTCCCTGGTCGTTAAGATTTGACCATCCTCTACACCTCTAACCTTCCAATGGACCGTCCCTGGTCCTCTTTTTATTTTATTTTTATATTACATGAATCCCTCAGGATATATGTAATTTTTTAAAATATTCATTTATTTGTTACATGTGAGAGTCCCGCAGGACTTATTTTTTGAAACATAAATTAATAATTTGCGCAACGTTGAGAGAAAAAATTTTTTTAAAAATTCAAACAGATTATGAGGCTTGAAAATATAATATAAGTAAAACTCGGAGGGTAGAACTAGTAAGGAAACTTCAACTCTAGTTTACATTAGTGAGTCCCGCAGGACATTAATTTCATTATGCGATCCTTCCACAATTATTTTGGGATGTTCGTAGGAACGGTACAGGGTTCTTATGGGAGTTCAAATTCTTTATTAGTACTTTATTTCCTGAATTTTAAGCATTATCGATTTTTCTTTCATTATCCTTTGTATTCCTGATTTTCATGAGGATTGAATCGTTTCAATCATAGGTATCTCATTGCGAAAATTAAATTCAAAAAGCTTTATAAGTTAAGATTATTCCTTATTCCAGAAAAAGAAATCTAACAGTGTGGAGTTAAGTATATCTTCCTATTAGTGCGCTATAAGCCTGTTTCGTTTTGGAGGTAACGTTCATCGTATGAAATTTGTTGGTTCATGAAAAAGGAATTCAATAAATTATATTTTGAGAACCACTCGTGGTTTGTTAGACAGACTTTGGATGTCTGATACGTATTAAACTCTTGTTTTTTTGAAAAAATTCATGCCTGGTGCATCAGAACATCGAAGATTTTTAGCCTTTATAAACCCCGTCCTAGTTGTTCCAAGGATTTCTAATTTTGAAATTAGGGGGTCTAATCCACGATTATTCTCATATTTAAAATACCTGCGTATACATATGATCTTTAATCCTAAATGAAATAGATGCTGTAGGCGACCTCATTTGTCAGTTGTTTGTTGTTAGTTCATTGATTTTGCTGACAAGGTCTTTTAATATTTCACCTTGTTCTTTTAGCATTTGTTTGATGACAAGATGTTCTTCAACGACTTCTTCCAGACTTGGATTTTGTTCTTGGTTATGCTGTTTCCTGCAATTAATCTCAATATGGCCTACCTTGTCACAATAGTTGCATATTGATTGGTTGTCCCTGTCCCATCGGCTGTAGTTATAAGTTGAGTTATTGTGTGAACCCCACGGGGCTTTAGTGTTGAGATCTTCATTCAATTCTTCATATGTTAATATTTTGCGTGATGTGCCTTGTTCGGTTATCTGGCATATAGGATTGAACGTAGCTTTTGGGTTGGCACATAGCATTAGCTCTGCCTCTTGAGCATTTAAAAGTAATGTGTCGAAATTCTTCCTGTTAGGCCCAGTCAGTGTTCTTGTGAGGAATTGAAGATTTGGACTAAGCTTTTCAAGGAAAGTTCTGCAAAGCGTTTCTTCTGAGACATTTCCTTTGTTGTCACAAGAAGTTGCTTCTATCATAGGAATTAATCTGGAAGCAAATTGCTCCACTGATTCTCCTTCATTCTGTTTGCATATGCTTAAAGCCTTGAAGATTAGTTCACGATTTTGTGTTGTATCTAAATTTTCTTTGATTTTGTTAATGGCTCCCTCGAGAGTTGCTTTTTCAGCTTGAGGTATTTTGTCAAATATTTTTCTTGCCTTCCCTTCTAGGCAAACTTTGAGGCGGGCAATTTTATCAATTTCACTCCATTTACCATTGCATTCGATTATGTCCTTGAATTTCCTGGCCCAGTGCCCGAACTCAATTACCGAGTTCGCCGAAAAAATTGTGAATGTTGGAAAATTCTCAGTTGAAAGCATACCAATATAATGGAATCCCTCAGGATTTTTCTTAAATTCGTTAATGGCTCCCGCAGGAGTTTTGATTGTATTATTGTTTTTTGAAGAATGTGAGGATCTTTCCTCATAAGGAAGAAAAGACATTGAATTAGTCTAGATTGGAATTAATACTAAAAAAATTTATACCTGAAAAATAAAAATGAATATTATAAAAATATTAAAATAATTAAAAAGAAATAAATATTTGAGAAAAACTTAATAATGAAAGTATTAATATGTGGAAGGATATAAATGAGATTAAGAAGCTAAGATATCAGCTTTTTTTAACTTCCAACTTTCCCACTGACTACTCTTTTATTTACATTAAAATGAAAAATTTTATTGTAAAATTGACTTCCGATCACTGAGAAAAGATTAATGGAGCTTATAGTCATAACTCCTGTGGGAAGCATAAAATGAAATAATTTTTTAATGAAATGTAATGAAAAGTTTTTTTGTTTATTGTGTGGAATTTGTACCAGAACAAGAGAAATATTTTTGATTTTCTTTTGATATCTGTTTGTAGATTGAGGATTTTGTTTTCTGATGAATAATTTCGTGTTTTAGGAAAGAGATAAAGACAAAATCTTTTGATAAAACTCAAAGAGAAAAGTTAACCTTTTGGACAAAAATAAAAATTTCGGAAGAGTGAAAATGAGAAAAAAAAAGAAAAAAAATTTAAACATAGAAATCTGCTTGGAATTTTAAAATTTTATATGAAACCCGCAGGTCTTGAATCTCATTATGAAATTTTCTGTCATTTCTCGTTTTGTCACAAGAAACAAAATTTATACTATTTAGATTCTAAAAATTTTTTGGGGTTCTTTATTTATTTGCTTATATCTTTTTTTAGTTTTTAACCTTATATCTTTTAAATTATTTTTTGAAAATCTCTCGGAGATTAAGGAAAACAAGTAAATCCGATACCCGAATTTCGAAGTAATTTACAAATGCTTTTATTATGTAAAAAATTTTTGTTGGAAATGCAAGACAAAGAATTAGAAAATTTAAAACAGAAAAATGAATTAGTAAAATTAAAATAAGAGCATAAAAAATGAGTGCATTTTTGTGTGGCCTCCTCAGAGGTTAGATTTTTGTGATATATGTACCAGTGTTAGACAAATGGAATTTTGCGGTACCGTGCCTAACACTAATATTTAGGGAATATATTTAGCCCAATTATACAATGTATATGAGTAAATCAATTAAAAAAAGAAGTTCTTTAAAAAATTTCTAAACAAACCCGCATGGCGACTAAATTTTTTTAAGTTTATAAAGGTTTCAATTTCTTTTAACACAATTGATCTCGAATTTAATATTGTAAACATTTGTTTACAATCTGTTCTCTTACTTTCTATTCATTAACCCTAAAAATAAATTTAAAAAATTTTATAACATAATTGTACCCCTCAGGGATTAAAGAATTCTAAAGAAATAATTAGATATATTTTGATTGAATAAAAAGTAAATTAATATGAAATTTTAACTATGAAATGATTCAAAACTAAAAAATTCATAGAAGAATACTATTGTGAAATGTATTTAAAACGAATTTAAGAAATGTTAATCGTAAGAAATCGTTAATAATTTAGTAATTTGCGAATTTACTAGAATTTATTAGATTTACGTTTTAGATTTTCATTTTTATTCCATGCCTTATTTTTGGGCTAATGAATGCTTATCGTCTTTTATTTTTAATTAAATCCTGAATTTTCCTAAAAAATTCTAAAATACCCTAAATACGGATTTTCAAGTAATTTACAATTGACTTTAGCTCTCATTTCGTAAGAATTCTTGTTATAGCCGGAAGTTAAAAAATTAAAAAGAAAATAAGAACTAGCTATAAGAAGTGTCTGGCCTTTAATTGGAAAGGATTTATTATGTTAACTTGCATGGCCTCCGCAGAGGTTAGTTTTCCTATGAATGGCTGATAGGAATTTAATTATAAATGAAATTGAATAATTTTTTGAAATTTTTTTGATTAATTCGAAAATTAAAATAAGAAAATCTTTTGTTTTCCTACCGTTGATTTTTGTTGAGGATACCTATTTATTAAAATTATATTTATTATTAAGGAAAAATATTAATTTCTCTATATTTATTATTACACACAAACTGAAAATAGATTTAAAATTAATAGAAAGAAATGAGGATTTCGTTGTAACGTTTAAACGGAAAGCTTCTAGCAATTGAATATTTCGTTTAGAATAAATTAGCTGGATGATAATGCAAAAAAAAATTTTTAAATGAGAAATAATTTATTAGACCCTATATACAAATTTGTATGTGAAAGTTAAAAACGAAATTCTATAATTCTTGCGTGGCGCAGAGGTTAACATAGTAAAAATCAAACTTTCAGAAAATCTCCAAGGTGCCTAGAATGAAGTTAAGTTGTTAAATCAAGTTTTTCTCACAGTTCCTTCTCACGAATAATTCTAGATTTTGGAAATCCCGGGGAGTCTTGAACATTTTTTTAAAAAGAGCTTTTTTTGAAAAAAATTTTTTTTTAATAAATTTAAAGTATTACTGGAAAACTTAAAGAACTCGGTCGTTAAAATTCCTTAATTAAAATAAAATGATGTGTAAAGCAACTAATTTTGCAGTTAAGGCATTATGGAAAAGTTTGTTTTTAGCTAGAGGAAGAAGGTAATTTGTAAAATTTCTATAAACTATTAATTTTCCTTTTTTTTGCCTAATGAATATCTTCTGATATAAATTTAACCCGGTTTTTATTGATAAACGAATTTGATAATTAAACAATATAGGAAGTTTTTTGTTTAGTTTTAAAGTAAATGCAACTTAGAAATTCGAAATTATAAATATGTTTGACAAAAAACCCACAAATCATCTTTTTTTGCACCCCGCGGGGAACGTTAGATAGTTAATTTACTAAGAAATTATTTTAAGAAAAGCTACTTTTAATTAAACGATGATCAATCAGCTTTATTTATAAAAAGGGAAAATAATTTTTTATGAGCAAATAGAGATATACGTTGTAACGCGAAGTGAAAAAATATAAAGTTCAAACTTACATTTTCTATTTATGAACCATTTTTAATGGGAAATGAAATACTAGATTTTTTATTTTTAATAAGTGAAAACATTAATGGAAAAATTTTTAGTGTTTTTCGCAAATTCAATTAACATTATTTTTAACATAAATGAACCCCGCGGGGTTTTCTGGATATTAAAAAAATCTTAAAATTTATTATTCATTAAAAAAGTGAATATTTTATTATTTAATAGAGAAATAAAAGGAGAATCAATATAGAAGAGAAGTTGAAGAAAAATTGATTGAATAATAAAAATTACTTTTCAAATTCTTTTTAAACAAAACAGTGCTTCGAGAGAAAAAATTTATATTTAGAAAGTAAGTTTTACTAATATTTTTGCTTAAATTCTAATAATTTATCTAATGAGAGTCAGAATCAATTGTTTTAGATTATCTAAAATTTTACTTGCCTTTGTTGAGTTCTGGTATAGAAAAAAATTTCCATTTGAGATTTTTGGTACCCCGCGGGGTGTAGATCAAAAGTTTGTTTGTTGTTATTTGCTTTGAGCCTGTTTGTTGTCATTTGCTTGTTTGTTGATATTTGATCAATATACATGAGAATGGAAATCAGATCAGATTGAAATTGAACATAAAAAGAATCGCGAACGCCGCAGCGTTTATATATTAAATCCAGTTTTTATAATTTTGTTTAAAATTTTATGAAATTTTATTATCTAATTTCTTATTTTCTAGAATTATTTAATTGAATGGCCTCCTCAGAGGTTAGATCACATAAATTAACCCACTTATAGTTTTTAATATTCTTCATTCAAAAATTAATTTATAAAAAATGCGGGTTATTGAAGAAAAAAAATTTTATTATTATAATTATCTTTTTTTTTTCCTTTTACAAATAAATTTAATATAATTGGCCTCCGCAGAGGATAGATCACGTAAAATTAACCCCCTTATATTTTCTATAATCTTCATTCAAAATTTTATTTATCAAAATGGGGGACCTAGGATTTGGAGCGCATAAATAAAAATATTCATTCAAAAATTAATCTTTTAATAAAATCGAACCGCGGATTTTGAGGCCAAATAATAAATATAAATTCCATCTTTTAAAAATTCCCCGACCTATTCCTAACTCAACATTTTCTCGGCAAAAGGTGAGGAACCATCCGGTGCTACCAGTAAAGCGGTTGGTCCCGTTCCCCAGTGCCTTGTCGTCTAATTGTTGTTATAGGCAGAGTCGCGCATGCTTGCAATCATGTGTGAACTCCGCAGAGTATAGAATAAGTTAATCGCTCGCAGTGGGGGAATATAAGGGGAGACGTCTCTCCCTTTACACGATGGATAAGCCGGCCGGCAACTCTGTTGAATGAATGAAGAAGTGATCCACCTTTGCCTATTCCTTTAGGGCTTATATGCACCAGCCTACTTCCTTATTGCTTTCCGAAGGATAAGTTAGTGGCGATGCTAAGCTTAGATAATGGGCGGCTAATAACTCTCTGGGAATGGCCGTTTGTAATATTCTTTGCACCTTCCTGCAAACTTCCGTTAACTAGAGCGACATTGCTCTTCACGTGTTTTTAGGATGATATCCGCCTTACAGTATCTAGTTTTGTTTTCTTATTATATTCATTTTGCATAAAGAATTTCTAGTCTTTTAGATTTTTTAAAATTAATTTTGAGTAAAAAGATGATAGCCTCATTTAGTTTTTCTTTATATGTTTAGACGTTTTTCGAAGAGTTTTTAGGATGAAACTAGACCAGTTTTGATTTAAAGCAACATATGGTGTGTTAAGAGAATGAACAACGTCATACTACTCCGATTACTCATATCTTTGTCAATTCAAGTCGAATTTCGTTGATCCTGATGTCATTTGACTCAAATCGACGAACTCTTTCTAATTTTGCATATATAAACTTGAGACAAAAATTTTGTTTTCGGCCCTGTTGAGTGCTTCTATAGTGATATCTGGTCAACTCAGGCCAAAGACGAAGATCTTGAAAAAACAGAGTTTGCCTACATCTGATGATCCTTCTACTCAAAAGACTCCAGTAACAATACCTGTATCAGAAGCCCCTACTAAAACACCGGTATTATCTGTAGAAAAATCGGATCACACATACTGAAAAGCCAACTCCTTTAGACGGCAAGATAATAGATAATCCGCCACCATTAAAAGATTAACATCAAACTTTAATAAATATGGGTGACCGTGCAGCTACACGATCGTTAAATAATAGTGTTGATCTGGCAAATCAAGCACAGTTAAATAAAGAAATTAATAACAAATATTGGCTAAATGCTCGTTACAAATAGGGTTTGACCCCGAACGTTCGGGGTACTCCCAGGGTGCAGAAACGCCTGTGGACCGAGATATAGGTCTCCGAAAATCGAAAAACCATATCTCGGTCCAATCAAGTCGGATTTCGTTGATTTTGGTGTCATTCGACTCAGCTCGAGGAGCTCTTTCAAATGAGCTATTACTCAAAAAATTGATTTTTCACCTCAAAATTGAGCTTACTCCCCCTATGGTTTTTCGATTTTCTGGGACCTATATCTCGGCCCACAGGCATTTCCGCGCCTGGAGAGTGATACCGTTCGACTCAGCTCGCCGAGACAAATCGAATGGTGTGGGTCTTATATCGGAACTAAAACTCCGTTATACTAAACTACAGCCAAAAAAACTTAATTTAAATTAATTTTTCTAATTTTAATTTAAAAATTTATTTTTAATTTTTTTTTCTAATCAATTTTTTATTTTTTCTTTCTCTATATTGGCTTTCCGCCCTAATTTGACCTTTTTTGAGGAATCATGCGCCAATTAGGCGAGGAAAAATGTATCCTCGGTAATGCGTTGGTTGAAATCAGACTGTTTCGAAATTTCGATTTTTGAGTGGATGGGGATACATTTGAAGGAAAATCATTAGACATTCCACCGAATAGATTGAAAAATTTCAAAAAAACCTACAATACTATAATAACTTATTTGTTTAAAAATTATCCTAGGTAAGTATTGCGACCTCACACTAACTAAAGGTGGTAATTAATCGGAGGAGGTTAATTATCCCAAAGAGTAAACCATCAATGGACGTTTTTGGCAACAAAGAAAAAATGACTGAAAGAAAAAATGACTAACATAAATGACTGAAAGAAATATGTAAGGAAAAAATAACCTGAATGTGTAAATATTAGTGTATATATCAAAAATATGTGTATAATTAAAGATTACGGTTGGGTCCCAATTCAATCCGGTACAACAGATCGGGAAGGCCATCGAATTTGGCCCGTAAAGGACTCTATAAGTCTGGTCGGATAAAAATGAGGCCCGGAAAAAATGACTCTAAATTATGTAGGCCTGACTCGAAAACCCCACCTCCAAGAAAGATGTAAACTCCGTACCAAAAATAGCAACGGATTAGATGCAACTTTATTCTAAGTCCTCATATGCAAAGTTATTAACCAATCGTCAATACCGCCACAGAATACCGTTTTTATTTTTGCCTTATTTGCTAGGTTGAGAGGAAACTTCGCCGGTGGAGTTTATTTTAACAATGTATACAATGACAGCTTAAACTACTTTTCAAAAGACGAAATTAAAACATCGGTGAAAAGCATGTTCTGTGAAATGTCCTTACATTCCCATTTTTTTAAATGATAAAGCTAGGCAGTCTCATGTAAATTGCCCAGCCCTCTCAAATAGCTCTTTATATGTAAATAGTTTTTTCTTCTTAATTTTAAATGCTTACTAATGTTTTTTTTCTTAATTTTAAATGCTTACTAAGCTACTATTAGGGGACGAAATAGAATTTTTAAAAAATTGAAAATTAACTTATAGCATATTTTAATACATGTTCGGTCATGTCCGAGACGAATAAGGTGTAAAAACCAAGGACACTTTTGGAGTCAAAATTCAAATATGCAATAAAGCTCATAAACAGATCTTCAGCAAAATCAACTCGATCCGACTTGATTAGATTCATTTATACAAAAATGAATCGAGTAAACCTATGGGCGTCGGAGAAACGCTTGTGCAAAACGCGCCTCACGGAGTTAACGGCCACTGGGATCTGAACCAGTAACATAAACAAGTAACAAAAAACGTTTTTCTAGTAGAAGCAGGGTGACGATTTTACCCTATTACCGTTTTTTGACCGTTTCGGCCTATTTTTTCATTTACCATATTTTTGCTCTATATTTATGTACTATTCTGTAAAATTTTTACAATTTTTAGCATTTCGTAGCGAAATGGCTGAAAAGGGAAGAAATCTGACAGTTGACCTTCCATAATTCTCAAAATTTCGCCTGCCCATTTTTACTGAATATGACCATTCAAATCTTTTTTGGGCATTTTTCGATGTCCAATTTAATCTACCAAACAGGCTGACAACCCTAATCACTGTTATAACCACAATTAAGATAAAGTTGAAGCGGTGCTCTGTAGTCTCGTCAGAGGTTAGTATTTGTTTCTGGATCACTTCGGACTAATGAGGTGTCATTTGAAGGAGCTCTAAAATCTGAGTCGAATTAGTTGTGTAAGAAGTCGATCTGACATTCCGGGACCAAGTTAAAAGCTCCTGAATCCTGCAAAATAATAGGGAGGCTCAGCTTGTCGATCTAGAGTAAGCTGACTCGAATGAGCTAACGTATACTTGAATTTTTATCCCAAAAATCAGCTTTTCTAAGCTCTTTTGAATGACACCTTATTTGTTCAACTCGATCAAGAAACAAATAAGTTAGTAAAATCACAATATCGATGTGTAACTAGATTATTAAATGGGAGCCTTACTGACGAAAATGCCTTCTGACGAGACTTATCTCTGACGAAACAACCCTCTGACGAAACTACCGGACACGGTTAAAGCAGTGCTCTTTTTGACGGTGTACGGAATTTTGGTCACCGGAATTTTGGTCACCAAGTCAAAAAACGGAATATTGGGCACTGAAATTTTGGTCACCAAGAGGAATTTTGGTCACCAAACGGAAAAAAAGAATCTTATCTAAAACTGATATCAAGTGATATAAGATTGCTTTTCAACTCCCAGTTGATCAATTTCAATTTTTGTCACTTTCCCGGCTGATCACTCTCTCGGTTGATCACTCTCGATCACTCTCCCGGATTATTGATTAACCGTGAGAGTGATCTACATTGAAATTGATCAACTGGGAGTTGAAAAGCAATCTTATATCACTTAATATCAGTTTTAGATAAGATTCTTTTTTTCCGTTTGGTGACCAAAATTCCTATTGGTGACCAAAATTTCAGTGCCCAATATTCCGTTTTTTGATTTGGTGTGTCGATGACGAGATTGAAGAATTAAAGATTTTAAATATTTTTGATATTTTTTATTTTTATGGAATTTTGTTTATTATTTTTGGCGGTGACTCAGTGAGTCACTTTCCTTTTTTGACAATTTTTTGTGTACTTTTTTGCAATGTACTTTACATTGCATCATTTTTATTATAGAAATTTTTGCCTATAAAAAGTAGGCAGAAATTTCACTTTTCAATATCTTTTATGATATTCATTTTTATAATATTCTGTGTGAATATTTTATTTGAAGATAAAGATTTAGTTGTGTATTTGTGTTATTTTTATTTGTTTATTTATCTAGATTAATTATTTTGTGTGAATAATTAATCTGAGATATTTTCCCTATAAATTAAATAGGAAGGTAAAAAGAAAATCCTCTCTGAGGATAAGTATTTTTTACATTTGGTGCCACGAACCCTTACGAAGGAGGGAGTGAGATTTAAAACTAAAAGAATAATAAAGAGCTATAGGCTCAGATTATTGGAAGAGCTATATTTTGGAAAGCTCGTTAAAAATTTTTTAATTGAAAATTAAAATAAATAATTAAATTTATAGTGTTTTAAAAATGTCGGGGACTATACGGCAAGCCATGACGCCGGCTATAACTCGTTTACGCGAGCATTTTGAGGAGATTCGCCCGGTTTTAGACGCCCAAGAGCGCACAGCTGAAGGAATAGAAATGTTAAGGACAAGATTAGTTAAAGTTCGACGTATAATAAATCGTCTTGAAGAAAAAGCCAATCAGTGGCAAGATTATATTCGAGGACTTCCGGTTAATGAAAGACAAGCGGAAGAACAGGTTTTAGCTAACTTTGCTCCATTGGAGCATCATTATGCGGAATGGATAGAGAACGCACATGAAATAATTGCAGATATTGAGATTGTTTTGGCTGAGTCTGAGGACGGCAGCACTCAATCCGATTTGTCAGTAGAGTTGGGAGTTGGCCAAAATAGACTGAATCAATCAAGAAGGCCACAAGTTTTTGTAAATGAAGGGCAGACGCCGTTAAATGAGAATTTTGTTCGTAGGAATGAGTATAATATTCCTACACATTTGCCTAGAACTAGATTAGCTGAGTTCTATGGAGATCCTCTTGTTTGGCCAGAATTTTGGCAATCATTTAGTAGGACTGTTGACAGTTTAGAAATTGATCCAGGCCTTAAAGCACATTATCTAATACAGTGTTTGAGAGGAAAGGCCAAGAGAGCGGTTTTGGGTTATCGACCGATAGCCGAACATTATGAACCGCTGAAAGACGCATTAAAAAGGCAGTTCGGCAATGAAAGAGCTATAAGAGATACGCTTCATGCCGAATTGATAAGCCTTCCTGTGGCAAATGAGTCTGTTTATTCCCTTCGTTCATACGTTGAGGAAGTTGAAAGAATTTGTAGATCCCTCACAGCGATGGAAAAAGTCGAAGATGAATCTATAGTTATGATGGCAATTAAAAATAAATTGCCAAAGAATATTATTTTAGAATTATTAAAAAAGGAAAAAGAGACAAAAGAGACTTGGAATGTTGATGAATTAAGAAAAGGTTTAGAAGAGATAGTAACTCTTAGAGAAGAAGTACAAAGGTGTGCTCAAACGTTTTCTAAGAGTGTTAACTATAGTCAACAAAGGTTTGGAAATAATTGGAATAATAACAGAGGATTTAATCAAAAGCAAGTTAATTTTAGAAAGGAAAATTTTGATCGTGTGTTTACAGTACAATCAGGTGATGGGAACGCAAAAAATAGTAAGAAGTTTGAGATCTTTTGCTATTTTTGCCACGGAAACCATCACGCTGAGAAATGCGAAATAATAAAAGCGATATATCTGAGGACAAAAATTTTGTCAGAGCAAAATCGTTGCTTACTCTGTTTAAGAAAGGGTCATACATTGGAAAATTGTGAGTCCAGAATTAATTGTAATATTTGTAGAGAACGGCATAATAAATTAATATGTCCGAAATTGTATAAAAATGGAGAAAATAAAAAAGATTTTAGAAAAGGTGAGCAAGTAAATCATCTAGAAACTTCAGAAAAGTTACTTACTATAGTAGAAGAACCAAAAGAGTTTGAAAAAGAAAAGAAAGGACAGATTAAGAAAGATGAAAGTGTTAATCAAATAAATAAAAATATACAAAATAATGAAGATAATGCTGAAGGAAATGTGATTTTAATGAAAGCAGATTTAATGTTAAAAGAAAGAAATAATAAGATAAATGTAAAATGCTTCTTTGATTCGGGAGCAACGGTTAATTTCTTATGTAATGAAATTGTTGAAAAATTAAAATTGAAAAAATTAAAAAAGACAGAATTAGGCGTTGTGCCATTTTTCAGAAAAGAGCCAATAAAGCTGAAAACTTCGTGCTATTCTTTAAAGGTTCTTCTTGATGATGGAAATTTTGAAGAAATAATTGTTTATAGTATAAATAAAAATATGATGCCGAGATTTAAGTGCGCAGATTTAAGAACAAATGAGATTGTTTGCGCAAATATAGTCCCCGATATGCTTATAGGGATGAAGCATTTTTGGAGGTTCTTTAAAAGAATAGAGCCTTTATCCGATTATTTATTTAAAGTTGAAACAACTGTAGGGCCAATAATTTGTGGTGAAATTAGCGGTGAAAATTTAGAAAGTTGAATAAAAAAGAAAATTTGTGCACTATATTAAGTTCCAACACTTTGAAAACGAAGAGCTTAATAATTATTGGTCATTGGAAACAATAGGGGTCAAGGATGATCCAGTTTGCAAAGATGATAAAGTTGCTTTGGATTTATTTAATAGTGCGACTAAAAGAAATGAAAATGGAAGTTATATTGTAAAATGGCCATGGAAAATAGAAAGAGACAGTTTGCCATCCAATTTTTCATTGGCATATAAAAGATTTCTAAATCTCATGGATAAATTAAAGAAGAATCCAGATTTATTATATAAATATGAGGAAATAATTAACAATGATTTGGAAAGGGGTGTGATTGAAATGGCTGAAAGGAAGAAAGGTGAAATAGAACACTTTCTGCCTCACCACCCGTTTATTAACACAAAAAAGGTGCGAATTGTTTATGATGCCTCGGCAAAAATGCGAGAAGGAAAAAGTTTAAATGAATGCTTATATCGAGGGCCAATAATTATGCCAGATTTAGCAGGATTATTAATTCGATTCAGAATGCCAAAAATTGCCATGTGGGCAGATATTGAGAAGGCATTTCATACATTAGAATTGGAAGAAGAAGATAGAGAAGTGACTAAGTTTATATGGGTAAAAGATACGAAGAAGCCCGTATCAACCCAGAATATTCAATATCTAAGATTTGCTAAAGTTCCCTTTGGGGTAATCTCGAGTCCATTTTTGCTATCAGCGACGGTTAGACATCACTTAGAGAAGTGTGATGACCCAGTCGCGAAAATTGCTAAAGAAAATTCTTATGTGGATAATATATTTATTGGATTAGAAACGGCCAATGAAGCTTGGCTCGCATATAAAAGATTAAAAGAAATATTTAAAGATGCACAAATGAATTTGAGAGAATTCATTAGTAATAATATTGAGCTTAATGAAAGGTTCCCAGTTGAAGATAGGCTAGAGAAAGAAAAGCCTAAAATTTTAGGAATACCTTGGAATATTCACACTGATAAAATAAATATTGTTTTTCCAGTAGTGAATTCAACAGAGAAAATAACTAAAAGAATAGTTCTTAGTGAATTAGCAAGCATGTTTGATCCATTAGGACTTGCTTCACCTAGTCTTTTATCTGCAAAATTATTCTTTCAGTCATTATGAACTAAAGAAAATAAGTGGGATATTAAAATTAGTGAGGAGAACGCAATGAAATGGAAAGAAATCACTAGTTCATGGATAGTAGATCCAATCGAAATTAATAGAAGAGTGACTGATATTAAAAGTGAAAAACAATTACATGCATTTTTTGATGCATCAAAATGTGCGTATGCTGCTTGCATATACATAAAATCGGAATTTGAAGGAAAAATTCATACACAAATATTATATGCGCGAAATCGTTTGAAGCCTAGAAAAGTAGAAGTGACAATACCACGCATGGAACTTTTAGGTGTGGTTATTGCTAAAAGAGCTTTAGAATTTGTAGAGAAGCAAATCGGAGTTGAAATAAAAGATAAATTTTTATGGTGTGATTCAAAGCCGGTATTAAGCTGGATAAAGGCCGGAGGCAAAAATGAAAAATTTGTAGAAAATAGAATAAATGAAATAAGAAAAAATAATGAAATAAAATTTGGATATATTAATACAAGCGATAATCCCGCAGATATCTGAATTAGAAAAATGCCGTATTTGGTGGGAAGGTCCTGAGTGGTTAAAGAGGCCTGAAATAAATTGGCCAAATGAATTGAATTTTGAAATTGAAAAAGAAAAAGAATGTGAAGAAGATAATCATGAATTAATATTAAATTGTTTAAATAAAAATATAGATGAAGAAGATAATCTAATAAATTTTAATAAGTGGAACTCATGGAATAAATTAATTAAATGTTTCATGTTTGTAAGTATAGCAATTCGTATCTGGATAGAAAAGAGCAGAAAAATTCTAAAAGGAAAATTTCTTAGTGAAATAAATTTGGAAAATCGTATGTCGGCAAGTAATTTCAAAAGAGTTGAAATTTTTGTGTTAAAAATTACGCAAAGCTCTTATAAAAACGAAAAGAATGAAAATTTACAGACAATAATTGATGATAATGGATTAATAAGATTGAAAACAAGAATTAGTAATTGTGAAGCAGAAGACTATTTTAAATATCCGATTTTATTGCCGAAGGGATGTTTCGCTGTTAAACTTTTATTGAGAAAAATACACAAAGAATTGAGTCACTCGGGAGTTGACTCAACAATTGCAAACTTTTTAATGAAATTTTGGACACCATGCGCAAGGCGCATAACAAAAATTGTTATAAAAGAGTGCAAAAAGTGCCAAAGAATCAGTTCACCTAAGTTTGCACTGCCAGATATGCCTATATTGCCTAAAGAAAGAGTAAGACAATCACGTCCATTTGAATTTGTTGGAGTGGATTATCTCGGCCCTTCTATGTGCAAAATAGAAGGAGGAAAAGTCAAGTTTTGGATTGCACTCTTTACATGTTTATCAACGAGAGGAATCCATTTAGACTTAATTACAGATCTATCTGCACTCTCATTTTTAGATATTTTAAGAAGATTTGTAGCGCAAAGAGGCGCACCAGTCAAAATAATTTCGGACAATGGCAATCAGTTTATAACCGTTGCAAAAGTAATAAATGCCAATATTGAAGGTAAATGGAAGAAAGAAAAAGCAAATAATGAAGAAAAGATTTTTAATAATTTTTTATTAGAAAAAGAGATTGAATGGAAATTCATACCTGCTCTGTCTCCATGGCAGGGTGGCGTTTATGAGAGATTAGTAAAATTAGTAAAAGATTCGTTTAAAAGATCTTTAGGAAGTCGCATATTAAATATAGAAGAATTAAGAACATTTATAAAGGAAGTAGAAATGTCTATAAATTGTAGACCGATTTCTTACATATCAGTAGAAAAAGACGGGCCATTATGCTTGAGGCCGATAGATTTTATAATACCAAATGTGGAAATAATTCAAAAATTTCCAGAAAACGAAGATGATAATTTCCGATTAGGAAAAATAAGCACGGCTGAACAAGTCCAAGAAAGATGGATAGCCACTTTGAAAACGCTTCAGAAGTTTTGGGATGCCTGGAAGCGTGATTATCTCATAATGTTAAGAGATAAAGCAAAGTGGACTCATCATAATCAAAGGAATGATTTAAAAAGAAATCCAAGAATTAGTGAAGTTGTTATTGTCCATCAAGAAGGACAACCTCGTAATGTCTGGCCACTGGGAAAAATAGTGGAATTGGATGGCACTCCAGCCAGAAGCGCAAAGATAAAAATAGGAGATAAAACTTTTATACGTCCTATTAATAAAATTTCTCCTCTAGAAATTGAAGATGAGAATTTAGTTGAAGAAAATTTAAATAATGAGAATGAAAAGGAAAATGAACTGGATTTGAGTAAAAAAGAGCCTAAAAAAGTAGAGAATAAAAATGAAAATACTCATCCGATGGTTACAAGATCGAAAGTGGCCTTGTGCCTACAATTTGTACAATTAATTTTTTTAATTGGAATTACATTTGCTGAACCACCGAGATACATAAATTGTAAAGGTTGTTTTATGAAGTGTAAAACCTTTGGCGTTGAAGCTAACGCAGTTGATTATATAAATAAAATTGAATTATGTTGCGCTGGAAGCTGCTTATTAGAAATAAATGGCTTGTCAAGATTAACATTTAGAATTCCAAAAGATAAAACAGCATTAGATTATAGATGCCGAGCTACTTATTGGGGCAAAAGATACATGTACAGAGACTGGATATCATGTCCAGCGGTTGATCCATGTATAAGAATATCAGGCTTACGTGAAAGAATAGTCAACCCACAGTGTGAATCATTAGAAAGCTTACTACTGATTGGTATTGTAGCGGGATTTATTCTGACTATTATTCTGTCTATAGCAATATTTGCCTGTAAACTCTTGTTAATTTTCGGAAAATTATTAAAAATAATTTGGAATATTGTTAAAATGCCGATGGAAGTATTTTTTGCGCAGAAGAAAAATAGACAAAAAGATATATCTGAAAAATTATTATTGAATAATAGAAATAAAGTTAAAAATAATAAAATATTAAAGAGGAATAGAAGACTGAATAAATTAGGTTTTATGGCATTACTAGCCATTTTTTCAAACTTTATAGAATTAGTTCATAGCGAAGTTGAAGTTGTAGTTATACAAGCTAAATCTGAAGATTGTCAAAGAAAAGGAGGCATTTCTACTTGTAAAATGAATGCCGTGAATACTGTGACTCTCTTGCCAAATGAGCAAATAAATTCGCTCTCGTTAAAAAATAATAAAGGAATAATAATTGGAGAGCTAGAATTATCAATGCATGGATTACAAATCCAATGCAATCAGAAAATACTTAGATATTTGAGATCATATGAGGTAAAAGTTCAGTCAATCAAAAGATGCCCAGCTGCAGGAACATGTAAAGCTGGAAGATGTAATCACATTAGAACTAAAGATTATGTTGAAGAATTATCAGAATGGAATGATTATCCTGGTAATTCATTTTGTATTGAAGGAAAATCACTTTGGGGGTATGGCTGTTCGCTGCCTGGAGCAGACTGCTATTTTTATAGAATGTATGCCATCCCAAAGTCAGATGAGATTTTCAAACTTGTGTCCTGTCCTACATGGGATTATAGTATTGAAGTAGACATAGGACTCGTATTAAATGGAAGTATGACAAAAAAGAGATTTACTCTTAATCCAGGAATGACATTTAAATGGAAAGATATAAAATTTACTTTATTAGATGTTACACCTCCAATGGCACCTGTTTTAAATAGTGAATTTATTATTGGAGAGAGAGGAATTGCAATTTCAGAAAATAGTAATTCTTATCTTGAATGTTATGAAAATGCCGGAAATTTTTCAAAATGTGAATTAGAAATTAATGCATGTAAGGAATGCTGGTTAGAACAAGATATTGAGAAAATACGATGCGCGTGTTCGGACTTTATAATTGAAAAATTAATAAAAGATCCGCGTAAATCGTTGCCATTGGAAATAAATCGTATAAGATTAAGAAGAAAAGAAAACATGATTATCAGTGAATCTAACTATTTACCAATCATGTTAATGATAAGATTTGAAGATTGGTTAATTTCTAGTAATACAGACATAACGTATTGTAAAATTGAACCCGAATATTTAAAAGGCTGCTATAGCTGCATGGGAGCTATTTTTAAATTTAATTGTTCTACCGAATATGGGTTAGCTTACGCTGAAATAAAGTGCCCTGGAGGCAATATATTTACAGCTAAATGTAATGAAAAAGGGATTGATCAAAAGATTGCACTTTCATTTGATCATTCGGAAATAAATGAAATTTGTAATGTCTATTGCTCGGGAGGAATTACAAATTTTACATTAAAAGGACAATTGGAATTTATTTTGCCAGAAAAGGCGAAAGTAATAGTAAAAGAAGGATCATCTAAAATATTCATAGAAAATAGGAAAATAATTGGTTGACAAATCCATTTGCAGGTTTCCAATTTCTTGATTGGAAAAACATACTATTTGAATTAATTAGTATACAAATGATATTTATGATTATTTTATCGTTTGTGTTGATAATTATTGCGTTGAAATTATTTTTAAAATATAATCCATTCTTTCGAGGATACAAACTCGCCGCATCAGCGTTTGTAATTATGCTTTTGGCGGGAGGTACACATTCCTTATGTGTAGAAAGATTGAAAAATGAAAGATATTTAATTAATCTTGAAGGAATTAATATAATAGTAAAAGCCTGTGTGGCTGTGCCTGAGAAGAATAAAATACAGATAAAAGAAATTATAGAAAAGGAAATTGATTATAAAAAATTTCGAGAGATAATTCTGAGTAGTAAAAATGAGGAGGAAAGATCTCCTGTTCAAAAGATAAAAGAGAGCCAGATAAAACAATTTCAGGTCATTCGGACTATCTCACAGGACTTCCCCTCATCTCTTTCAAATACTACTTCTACTCCACCAACACAAAAAACTCTGCATCAAAATCAATTTTCAATTCATCAAGCAAAAATTGATAAAACTTCAATGCGGCACAAAAATAGAAAGTATTATTTTCATCACACTCTCGGACATACAGCAAATAATTGTCCAATTAAAAGCAATGACATCAGCTCTTCATCAAGTCATTGTAAAAACAGCATCTTCTATAAACACAAGCACTCTTCAATCACATCACATGAACTTGCCAATTGCCGCAAATGTATATCATTCTCAACATTGTGCAACTCTCTTCATCAAAGCAACTCTAAGAACATGGAGAGATGAGAGGATTTCTTGGCGGGAGTGTCGATGACGAGATTGAAGAATTAAAGATTTTAAATATTTTTGATATTTTTTATTTTTATGGAATTTTGTTTATTATTTTTGGCGGTGACTCAGTGAGTCACTTTCCTTTTTTGACAATTTTTTGTGTACTTTTTTGCAATGTACTTTACATTGCATCATTTTTATTATAGAAATTTTTGCCTATAAAAAGTAGGCAGAAATTTCACTTTTCAATATCTTTTATGATATTCATTTTTATAATATTCTGTGTGAATATTTTATTTGAAGATAAAGATTTAGTTGTGTATTTGTGTTATTTTTATTTGTTTATTTATCTAGATTAATTATTTTGTGTGAATAATTAATCTGAGATATTTTCCCTATAAATTAAATAGGAAGGTAAAAAGAAAATCCTCTCTGAGGATAAGTATTTTTTACATGGTGATCAAAATTCCAAAAAAATTAGTGACCAAAGTTCCGAAAAATCGTGGTGACCAGAATTCCAGTGACCAAAATTCCGGCACCCCTTTTTGACTCTCTCAATTGTTCTCTTTATTTTGAGCCTGGATTGCTCAAATTAGTTAAAACTAGTGAAAATATGCAGAATAATGCTTTTTATTTGAGATTTTAATTAATTTCTAAAACTATGCCCTATTTTTGCCGCATTTTTGAGTGCCTGCGCCCTATTTTAGTGGTTTGTAATCGGTCACCCTGAGTAGAAGTCAAAAGTAAGTATTAGTGACTACAGACTGTTATCATAATTAAATATTTTTTAAATTCTAAGAAAAATATTTTAAATCAAAATTTAGATTAAAATGTTCAAAAAATTCAATACAATTGTTATTTTATTTTTCATTTTAAAAAATTATTCTGAAGGAGCACCGAGGAAGAGAAAAGGAGAAACAAGTGGGCAACAAACCCAAGAGTTAATACAAAAAAATTTTTTAATTTCAAAAAATATTAAGGAATGCTAATTATTTTGAAGGAGGAGGCTCTTCATTTGTTCCAGCACTTAATTTTTCTTGCAAATGGGATGGATGTGGACAAGTTTTTGATAATGAACAAACTTTTGTGGAGCATGTTAAAGAACATGCAAAAATGGAAAAGGTGTCGTTTCATCCATTTTTAATAAAATCTAGAATAAAATCCGTAAAAACTCTCTATTGTTGATACTAAATAATAGTCTTTTACCGGTTAAATAAAGTCCGTAAAAATTCTCGCTCTCAAGTCTAAATTGGAGGGTTTATCTCATATCACTTTCTTTATTTTTTATAATTTAAAGGGCCCACATCCATACTGTCGCTGGTCAAGTTGTAATGAAAGAAAGCCTTTTTTACGAAAAAATTTCGCACAACATATCAGAACGCATACTCAAGAAAAGCCTTATGTTTGCGAGGTACTAACTTTAAAAAAATTTTCTAAAAATTCCTTTCTAGATTATTCATGATGGTGTTCGATGTAATAAGAGCTTTACTTCTAATACAAGTCTTAAGGATCATCAACGCCGTTATACAGAAGAAATAATTATCGAGCATAAATGTAAATTTTGTGAAAAAGTAAATAATTACATATATTTTTAAACAAAATTTTGTTTTATTCGTAGTAATAAATAGGGTTGGGCCCCGAACGCTCGGGGGCAGTTGTCCCCAGATACCCAAATTCTGAAATCTACCTTACACCACTCAATCCCTCGATATCACATTCAAATCCCTCAATATTACCTAAGACTCCTTGAAACCACACGATATAACTCAAAGTCCATCCAAATCCTTCGATATACGATTAACTTCCTTTTACAGCGCCGCAAGCAAAAATTTAGGGATTTTAGTTGACCAAGAAGCCAGCTTTCTTCCTTTTTCGCGCCGCAGGCAAAATTTTTTGATAATTTTGGAAGGCCAAGAATTTTCATTTATGAAATAAAATTCCATGGAAAATGTCGGGTTTCGGGTCGGATTTTGGAATTTTTCACGGGTCGGGTTTCTGGCCGAAAAATAGTCCGGGTTTTCAATATGATTCGTAAATACTTCCATTTTTTTGCTTAATCTGCCGTTTCATACAGACATTCTCATTATTCGTTACTATACAAGAGCTTATAACGAGTTCCTCCCATATTTCCTTTTCTTGGGATTTCAAACCAAAAACTTGTGTCTCTGTTAACAGGGTTGTTATTAAAAAAATTAACTTTTAAATTTTCTAGAGTTTTGTGAACACCAGTAACAAAATTAAACACGAAAAATATCATGAAAATCCAAACTACTATAGATGTCCATTAGATAATTGTAGAAAATCCTTTAAAAGTCCTAGTTCATTAAAAAGTCATGTTTGTAAAGAACACGGAGAAAAAACTTGGAAATTAATTGTAAAATATATAAAAGCTAATAAGATGGAAAATTATGGGTTAATTGGAATGAAGGAAGATGGAATTCTTTACAAGTCAGTTTGTTTTTATTATAAATTATTTTTGTGATTGGTTTTTGTTATTACATATATCAAAAAACAGTTTGTGACGAAAAAATTCAATTTTAGAATATCTGATGATGGTGCGGGTACCAGTAATGCTGAACATCAAGTTGATGTGAGAATATATTATCTTTGATATATAGAAATTTCTAATTTAATTATGAATATGATGCTGGTACACAGCATTTTAAGTTCGGGAGTTAGCCGTCAAAAAAGCTCCCAATTTCGTTTCTAGGCAAAAATTTTGGTTATTTGCACAGTCCTCATCATGGTTCTTTTCATAATCCACATTCTTTTAATTTACGGATTACTTCCACCTCATCATTAGCTTTCTTAAAACTAAATCATTGTAGTAATAGGGGAATTCTGATAAATAAAATTTCTATAAATCTTTTAATTAGTACCTTTTATTTCAAACTTTTAAAGGTCGGCCATGCAGCACACATACCCGAAGGAGAACAACAATTACTACAAATTCTAGAACATGAAGAAAACTATGGAAATGATGATGATTCAATGGAAGAAAATTATTCAGAAGAAGACTTGGACACAGATTTGCATCTCTAGTCTCGGACTCGCAAATATGAGTCCACAATATGGGTTGCTTCCTTCATATTTTTATAAACAAAACATGAAAGTTATTGGCTCTATCTTAGGACATGCGTCCCATGAACTTTTATGCGTCCAATGAAAGTATATGCGTACCATCCAGGGTGGCCTTTTTACCCTATTTATAGAGGATTTTCCCTATTTTTGATCTTTTCGCCCTATTTTTTCCCTATTTTGTACATTTTCCATATTTTGCCCTATTTTTATCAATTTTTAAAATTTCAAGATGGCGACAGTCATCTTGAACTGCTCGTGGTAGCCCCACCTTGGAGGATAGTTGAAAAATAGAGCCCCACCCTCAATTAGAGCCCCACCCCAAATACAGCCCCACCTAAAAAATATTAAAGGAAAAATAGTAAAAAATAGCACCACAAATTTTTTTGATGTATTAAAAGTAGGATTGTTGGTTCTTAAAAAATCTTCGGATATCCGGAGCCGAACCTAAGAACCGAACCGAAATTTTCGGATATCCGAACCAAAAAATCATTGGTTCTTAGGTTCGGTTCGGTCCAGAACCGATAACTCTAATTACGAGAGTTAAGGAAATCAAGAGGGATATCGATGATTAAGGAGGAGGAGGGATATTGGGATTAAGGGAAGTATGAGGGAATTAACTAAAGGGAAAAGGAGAAGATATTCGAGACCAAGATATCCCCCTTAATCAAACAAAATCCATTCATATTCCTCTAATAACCCTAATACACAATATACATACTTCTTACTTCCTCTAAATCTCTCAAAATAACCTTAATCCTCTGATATTCCCCATAATCCTTAAAATTAGGGTTGCCGAAATGGACCGACTCGGACCGAAAGATCGAGTCGGGCCTAGATGTTTGGCCCGAAGATGACTCATACCGGCTCGACTCGTAAAAACAAGCCCAAAAAATGGCTCGGGAAAAAAAGTGGCCCGTCTCGAACAAGACTCGATATATTTTTAACAAATTCATGGACAAAAATGGGAGAAATTAAGCCAATCTTTAGTTGCAATCGTTAATTAATAAATCGGATTTTATCTCAAAAGAGGGTTGAAAAATAGAGCCCCACCCTCAATTAGAGCCCCACCCTCTAATACAGCCCCACCTTGGAGGATAGTTGAAAAATACAGCCCCATGGGGCTGTATTTGAAGAAATACGGTATAAATGTTTTCCCCCAAAACTTTATTCATCTTTTTAGTTTTCAATCATTTTGCATAAAGAATTTCCTGGATTTTGGATTTTTTATAATTTTAACTGAATTTGGATTAGCAGATTTTATTAAGGCTTTATAAAATATTTGCTCAAAATTTCGAGATTTTGATTCAAAATTTCCTAATAATATTAACCTAGCCTTGCTCTAAATTAGAATTGTATGATCGTTTTTATTTGAGAAATAAATGGTGGTGGTCAAAAATGATTAAATAAGGCATGCTTACGCGCTTCGAGTTTTCGTGTTTCTAACATTAGGAAGATCTACAAAAATTTGAGAACAATCGATCGATACTAAGAAAAAATAAAAAAGAACTAGGCCCATATCTCATTTCAATGTCGAGATCTCGATACCCTGAAAACACGAGTAAAACAGGATTAAGACTCTGGTAAAAATATTTTCGAGCCCTTATGGATTATTTTGAAATTCCTATTTAGGCTTATTTGATAGCCTTGAAATTTGCTACAAGATAGCATTTGTCTAGAAAAAGATGAGAGAGTTGAAATTAATCATAACTTTTCAGTATATACTGTCTTATCTACAAAAATACATATATGTCTTAAAAATTTCAAATAAGTTCAATGACTGAAACATTGAGAAATATAAAAAATCTGGTTACGCTTATAATTTCTTAGCACACTGTAATTTTAAAATTCTTTTGCCGTAAATTAAAGTATTTTTTAGGTTTATTGGATTTAAATGTTTAATAATTTTTTTAATTAAAATTATAAAAAAACTTAATTAATTTAAATTAATTTTAATTTAAAAATTTATTTTTAATTTCTTTTTCTAATCAATTTTTTATTTTTTCTTTCTCTATATTGGATTTCCACATTAATTTGACCTTTTTTGAGGAATCATGCGCCAATTAGATCAATTCTAAATTTTAATTTTCGAGTGGATGGTGATACATTAGAAGGAAAATCATTAGACATTCCACCGAATAGATTGAAAATTTTTAAAGAAAATTACAATACTATAACAAATTATTTGCTTAAAATTATTTTAGGTATGTATTGCGATCTCACACTAACTAAAGTTGGAAATTAATCAGAGGAGGATAATTATCCCAAAGAAGGGTAAACCATCAATGGACGTTTTTGCCAACAAAGAATATATGTATATATTAAAGATTAGTGTTGGGGGCCAATCCGGTTTGAAAATCCGGGCATCAAATTTGACCCGAAAAAGATGAGGTCTGAAAAAATCGAACGTCGGGCTGCTCCAAAACCCCAACCCCAATAAAGATGCAAGCCCCGTACCAAAAATAGCAACGTATACATATTTGCTAAGCTGAGAGGAAACTTCGCTGGTGGAGTTTATTTAAACAATTTAAACAGCTTAAACCAATTTTCAAAAGACAAAATTAAAACATCCTCGAAAAGCATGTTCTGTGAAATGTCCTTACATTCCCATTTTTAAATGTAAAGCCTGGCAGAGTCTCATCTAAATTGCCCAGCCCTCTCAAATAGCTCTTTATAAATATTAATTGCCATAATACATATTAATAATTTATTTTTTCTTTTTTCTTAATTTTAAATGCTTATTAAGCTACTCGTCATTTGGGGATTAGACTTATGGGGACCCGACAATTGGGGACTAAATAGAATATTTAAAATTTGAAAATTAACTTATAGCGGGTTTTTAATATTGTAAAGCATATAGCTATTTAATTCCTAAGGCTGAGCAGTAGGCGGCGTGGTGTAATGGCTAACACATCAGTCCGGTGACTTAAGATGCTGGTTCGCTCCCAGCCGCCTTTTAACCTTTTGCACTAGCTAAAGGAGAGAAATAGCTATAGCACGGCTGATTTACTATATTTGGTCGGTTACAAAACATGGTCCTTCCACTCAGCTTGATCTCTGAGACGAATAATGGGTAAAAACCAAGGACATCTTTGGAGTCGAAATTCAAATATGCAATAAAGCTCATGAACAGAGCGCGCAGCAAAATCAACTCGATCCGACGATTAGACAAATTTATACTAAAATGAATCAAGTAAACCTATGGGCGTCGGAGAGGCCTCGCAAGAGTTAACGGTCACTGGGTTTTGCACCAGTAACAAGAAAACGTTTTTTTAGTAGAAGTCAAAAGGAAGTATTAGTGACTACAGAATTTAGTGACTTCTAAGAAAAATATTTTAAATAAAAATTTAGATTAAAATGTTTAAAAAATTCAATGCAATTGTTATTTTGTTTTTCCTGTTAAAAAATTATTCTGAAGGAGGAGGATCGAGGAAGAGAAAAGGAGAAACAAGTGGGCAACAAACCCAAGAGTTAATTCAAAAATTTATTTTAATTTCAAAAAATATTAAGGTGGAAATGTGATTGGGCTGGATGTATATATCGTTTTGATAATGAAGGTGTTTTTGATCTACATGTTAAAGAACATGCAAAGGATTCACAGGTCATAATAATTATTAACACTAATCAAGACATTTTTCCGTTGTCATCTTAATATTAAATACAAATATAACAATACGTAAACATTAAATTCGACTGGCGGTTTTCACTTTTATGAATCGACTTTACTATTATGTATTATGTCCCAGCTGTTGAAAAACTCATTCGATGGTTGCTTTAATAGGAAAAAAGCACACACTCAACTCGATGATGAATTATTTTTATTTATCTAAAATCCCCACACTGATTTTAACTTTTATAATATAAAGGATAAAATATGTCGTTGGTTAAATTGTGATAGGAATATGCAGCCTTTTGATCGTACATCTGGTTTGCTAGAACATACTTTAGTGCATACTCAAGTAAAACCTTATGTTTGCATGGTAATATCTTCATTTATTTTCTAATTTTATAAAACATTACTTTCCAGCATGTTGATGATGGTGTTCAATGTCTTAGTACCTTTGGTCTTAAGAAGAATTATAACAAACATCATCGGAAGTTCCATCCTCATTGCAATAAAGTATTTTTTAAATAGAATTATACTATAGGGAAATATAGAACTATAGGGAAATTTTTTAAGTTTATGAAAACGAAAAAATGACTATTTCGTAGATCAACTAAAACTCGGACTGGTAAGGGGGGGAAAAAAAAAAAAAAAAAAAAACTCGGACTGGTAAGGGGGGGGGGGAAAAATTACCTTGAATTAAGTAATTTTGTTCCTTTCTCGGCAAAAATTTTGGTGTTTCTAAATTTCTGATCCTCGCGCTAATTATTAGGGATATTTCTTCCGTTTCCGCCTTTATCCATTAGTGGATTTAGATAAAAGATTTTTAGATAAAAAATTATATTCCTGTTGCTTTAACCTTTAAAGGATTGTTGTAAACACATAACCGAAGGACATCAGCAACAATTCGATCACCCACCCCATGGAGGACAACAATTACCAACAAATGTAGAACATCAAGGAAATGAGGAAGATTATTCTAATGAAGATTTAGACTTGACTTTGCGCCTTTAACCTTGGATTCGCAAATATGTGCCCACAATTGGGTTGTTCCCAGGCATATTTTTAACAAACACAAAACAAGAGTTGACACCTTTAAATTGGGGGTTTTCTTTAAAATTCTTCCAAATTCATTTTATATTAAAATTTAACTTTATTTTGAATGTTAGTCCCTCAAAACTTTATTTAACTAATTACGTGTTGTTCTCTTCCTTTTTTTCTCGTTTCATTCTCCCCCTAAAGTTTTTTTCAAAATTCCAATTATAAACATTAAAGTAAATTCCTTAGCATTCACTTGGTCCTTTTAGTTATCCCGTTTCAGTTCGCAGTGCTAACCTGGTTTATCTAGATTTGTTTTCATATTATATTCATTTTGCATAAATGATTTCTTTTCTTTTAGCTTTTTTAAAATTAATCTTGGGTAAAAAGGTGAAATGTTTTGACGTTTTTCAGAGAGTCGTTTAGGATCAAACTAGACCAGTTTTGATTTTAGGCAACATATGGTGTGTTACGAGAATGAACGGTGTCATTAGACTCCGATTACTCATATCTTTGTTAAATCAAGTCGAATTTCGTCGAATCTGATGTTATTTGACTCAGTCAAATCAATTGACTCAGTCAAATTGACACGAACTTTTGACACAAAAATAGCTTGTCTTCCTATTGTTTTCGATTTTCAGGCTTCGGTAAATCTGGGAAGAAAGCAACGTAAACCCTTTTGAGTACGTCTAGAGTGATATCTGGTCAACTCGTACCATTTATGGTACTAAAACATGTTTATTGATGTGTTAATGAGCAATACCCAAGCCGATACATTTAGAGGAAAATCGTCTTCATTTTCCATAAATAATTTTCTTGTCATACATATTTTTTTATTTTAACAATCTTTGATTCGATTATTACTAGGACCTCCCAAATTATGTACACTAAGCGTAACATATAGTTATTCACCAGGGCTATATAATTTTGAATTTTTAAAAGCGGAAGGCGGAAGCGGAAAAAGCGAAACAAAATAAAAATGCGGCAGACAAGGCTTTATATTCTTATTAAAAACCGAACAGTAAATCGTGTATTTCTATTAACCAGTTAAGATAGTCGGTTTTAAAAACCGTTTAAACATTAACCGGGAGGACCGGTTAATAACCAGCTTTGTCCAACTTCACGTTCAAAAATTCTTACAACTTTTTATAATTCTTAAAACATCTATTTCGTACCTAAACAAGGATACGAAAAAAGGTACGAAACGTCTAAGTAAAATTAAATTTGCCTATCCCTTCTCATCGTAAATAAAGCGAGAGAGTTAAAGAAAAGGAAAAGAGGAGAGAGAAGAAAAGCATTAACGTGGATGTTTGTCGGTCGATGAGATAATTCGACGGAAAATCGAAGGATATTTTACTGAATAGACCTCGAATTGTTCGGAAGTTGTTTTTCTGGCAGTAAACTTGTATGATTTGAAATTAATCTAAAATCTAAGCTCGATGGAAGAGAATCGGAACAGAGCAAAAATAAATATCGTAACGCATATTCATTTTTATTATTATAATGTATTTTCTAATTCTTGTTGGGTCAAGTTTCGGACCTGAATTAGATATGCTTACAAATGTAATTGCTCTATTTATAAGTGAGAAATATGCAGAACCATATTTGTATAGGTCTTCCTAGCATAAAGTTTTCCTAGCATAGCTTAAATTATAGTAAAAAATCATTCAAAAATTCGAGTAGTAATAATTTAAGTGAAATGTCCTCTTACCTCAATTTTTTGGCAAAAGGGGGAGAGAGAGAAGCACTCAAAAGGGGGAGAGAGAGCAGTCGACTTATTCAGACTCTTAAAATTTACCTTTATAGACAGGCAATAATAGTTGATTAATCACTCTTATTAATTAAAACAAATTAGGAAATTGCGCAAGTGTTGGGCAGTGATGATAACAGAGTTTTCTTCAGCCACTTTATGCAGCTCGCCTGAAGAGGATAACTTATCTCATTTGTTATTCCATGAATTTTTTAATTTGTTTTTTAAAAGTTTAATTGTCTAATGCTCGTACAAAAGTTTGTACGTGTATTCTTACAAAGAATTGATCGATCTCGAGTTTTCTCATTATCTTAACCTTATAAATTTAAAAACATTTGTTATAGACATTTGCTTAAAAATTTAGCCGATTTTTAAAAATAATATTTTAAATTAAAAAATTACAATGTTCATTCAAAAATTCACAACAATTGTTATTTTATTTTTCGTTTTAAAAAATTATTCCGAAGGAGCAGGAAAAGGAGGGAAAGGAAAAAGTCTAGCAAGTGTTCATCATCAAGAAAACCCTATTAATTATTATGGACAACAAAACCAAGGGTTAATACAAATAATTTATCTTAATTAAAAAAAAATATTAAGAAGTTCTGGAGTAGGTACTTTATCTGCCCCAGTAGCTACACCTGGAAATTGTTCTTGTAAATGGAATGAATGTGGACAAGTTTTTGATAATGTTGATACTCTTTTGGAACATGTATATAATGAACATGCAGGAATGGAAGAGGTATAATCGGGATTATAATGTACATAACTATAGCGATAATAAAATGCGTTTTAGTATTTTCTGGACTGAAAATACCCCAAAAATTTTCCGAAAAACCCCATCCATGATAATAGAAAATGTGCTCTACTGCAGTTTAAGTGTCTTGATTAGTAAATTTTTCATTCGATCCAAACTATGATAGGACTCATAGAGCGTGATTGGACTCATAAACTGCAGTAGAGCCATTAACTGTGCGGATGAGATGGTTTCAAGAGTTCCCTAAAGCAAAGTGCAATGTATGGAAAAGCTTTCAAGGAAGCTCTGGGGAAGCTTTCAACCCGCCAAATTTGTTGTTAAATATATTTCTGTATTTTAATAAAATTTTTAAGGATTTAAAATGTGGATGGGAAGGTTGTCAAGGAAAAATGTTAAATTCATCACAAAAACTGGAAGTACATATTAGAGGGCATATTGGACTTAATCCTTATGCTTGCAACGTACTAACTTCGATTAAAATTTCATATTTTCTAAAATATTCCTTTCTAGCTTAGTCATAATGGTATTCGTTGCAATAAGAGCTTTACTGAAAATAGAGGGCTTAAAGATCATCAACGCCGTTATACAGAAGGAATAATTATCAAGCATAAATGTGGTTATTGCAATAGAGTAAATAATTAGATTTTTTAAATAAAATTTTGTCTTATTGGGAATGAAGGGGAATCGGTAGTAAGGTTGTTGGATAGTTGGAAATCTTCGGATATCCGGATCCGATATCCGAACCGAAAATTCCGGATATCCGGACATTTTTCGGATCGGGTATCCGGAACCCCAACCTTAATCGGTAGTACTACTTTTAATGATGGATGTGGTTTTTTCATTATAATAAGTAAATACGTCCATCTTTTTGTTTAATCTGTCTTTCCATACAGACAGTTCCCAATATTCGTTATTATACGAAAGCTCATGACGGGTTAATCCAATATTGTTTCCTTTTCTCTGGATTTTAAACCAAAAACTTGTGTTCTGTTAACGGTGGTGTTATTGAAATGAAAATTAATTTTCAAATTTTCTAGAGTTATAAAAATTTCGATGACAAAGTTAAACATGAAAAACAGCATACAGATATAAACTTCTATCAATGTCCATTTAATAATTGTCGAAATTCGCTTAAAAGTCTTAATACATTGAGAGAACATGTTCGTAAACAACATGGAACAGATTTTTGGGATTCTATTTTAAAATATAAAAAAGATAAAAATTTAAAAAGTTATCGGCTCATTGGAATAGGGGAAGATGGAATTCCTTACACGTTAGTTTGTCTTTTAGATAAATAATTTATGAGAGAATTTATTTAACAAAAAATAGTAATGAAAAAATTAAATTTCAGAAGGAACGATAATGTTGCTGGGAACAGTAATCCAAACCGTGAAGTTGAGGTGAGAAAATATTTTCAATTATAAAGAAATTTTCAATTAACTGATAATTTAATACACAGAGTTTTGAGTTTAAGGCCCGATGGAATAGCCTGAAAAACGCCCCATTGTAAAATGCCAATTTTGCCTCTTGGCAAAATTTTTGTTACTTAACGCTTTTAGAATTTGTAAATCCAGGTATTAATAAAGGATTTGGTAATTTTCAATTTCGTTCCCCCCCTCCTTTTTTCTTACTCAAATTATGAAAAAATGGTCAGACTTTTCTTTTTTCCTCAATTACACTCTTCTTCCCCATGGCATACAATCAGTCAAAAAGGATTACCTTTTTTAAATTTGTTTGTAAAAATATAAGAACTGAGAAAGAAAAGTGTCACATTTTTAAAATGGAGAAACTAAAAAATTTCAAAGATTCCCATCTACATGAAAAATTGTGTTTGAGTGACAAAGATTTCGATTTATGGCTTGTAGAGCTTGGACTACTTCACGGAAAACGAACTTGTTATAAATGTGGGGGCCGAACTACCATTCATCAAATTAGAGATAGACGTTATGGCAGCTGGATCTGTACAACAAAAAGATGCCGTGCAGAAAAAGGTTATTTATGCGGCACCTTTTTCGAAGGCACTCACTTAACAACAAAACAAATCTTTCATCTTTCTTTTTTGTGGGCTTATCGCTTAGGCAAGTATGAATAAAAGGTAATCCTTTTTGACTGATTGTATGGCATGGGGAAGAAGAGTGTAATTGAGGAAAAAAGAAAAGTCTGACCATTTTTTCATAATTTGAGTAAGAAAAAAGGAGGGGGGAACGAAATTGAAAATTACCAAGGATTTTTATAAAGAAGATTTTTATCAACCTTTTGATTATACTTTTGTTTGTAAACTTTTGAAGGCTGGTCAGACAACATACCCACCATTACAACATTTCGGCCATTCAGCATACCAACATGGAGGAGAATTACAATTATTTCCAACAAATGTAGAACTTCAAGAAAACAATCAAAATGAAGATATGCAAGCCAATTTTGATCTTAATGAAGATTTAAACACAGATTTGAACCTTTGGCATTAAATCCGCGACAATGAGTCAACAATACAAGTGTTCTTCGACATGTTATTAAAAACCATCAAAACATGAATTGTTATTTTTAAAGGAATTTCTTTAAAATTTTTTTAATTTCATTTTATATTAAAATTTAATTTTATCTTTAAATTCCCTCAAATATTAACCTTGTAGTTTTTACATTCCTGATTTTTATCAAATACCAAACAATCTATCTATTTATTTATTTCCATTCATTTAGCCTAAAGAATTTTCG